CCTTGCCCCCTTGGCTTGGTGTCTCTGCCTTGTCCTGGGGAGTTTTAGGGTCTGGGCCTGTCCCTAAGGGTTTGGGAGTGGTGGGAGGCATTGGGGCAAACCTCATCGTGTGTCCTCATTCTCAATGTATGATGTAGGCGGAAAGGGAAGTCAGGTAATGATGGCAGAAGGTGTCATCTCCTTTCTTTGACTTGATGATGAACAGTGAGCAGGTGGTTACTTCCAGGCCTCTTTAAAAGAGCTTAATCTCGAAAAGACCCTACAGCAGCCATTGCGGCTCCTGTTTCTGTCCCTACAACCTCTATTCTTTGGGCTATGAGGGATGTCACTGTGTCCCAGCAAGAAGACAAGGTGAGGACAGGCTGGGAGACCCCAGTGACAGCCATGGGAAGTTGTTTCCTGCTTACCTTGTCCTCAAATTCCTGCATGGCCATTCCAGACTTGGGACAGGTCTGCACAGTCCTTTGGCCCACAGGGCTTTCTCCCTGGAGATTCTGAAAGAATAATACAGTGTGTGATTCTCTCTCCATCCAAATACAGCTTCTCCTCACTAGGGCACTTGAAACCCCTGTGGTCTTACTGGGAAGAATTAAAAGAAGGAGGCCTTCCAGACTGTTCATGTTGTTTTTCCTGCTCAGGTCTTCAAGACTCTGCTTGGGGAGAAGTTATGCTTCAGCCCTAGGAGTTTGAGAAGATTCCACTCCAGCCAGAGGCTGAAGGAATTTACGCAGGTACGAAGGAAATGTTGTTGGAACTTTAGCTAAATGCACAGAGCTTTCAGACCAGCCCACCGTTGTATCAAAGACTGCAAATGAAGGGAAACGGAGTGAAATCAGTTATCTTGAAGAGCTGCCCATTTCACATCATTGCAGGACATCCTGGAGCGAACGCAGTGTGCTGTAGTGGAAACAGCACGGACTTTGGAGCCGTTCAGACGTTTTAGTTGAATCTTGGCTCGACTCCTAGCTGTACGACCTTGAGCAAGAGACTTCACCCTTCTGGGTTTGTAAAATGGGAGTTACCATGTCTACCACACAGGGCCACACAGATGCTCTATTTGTGTCATGTCTCTTTTCCAAAGAGAAAAGCTGAAGGTTGGGATGAACCTTACTCAGCAATTGAATGTGTCTTGATGTAGGGCAAACTTGATTTCCTTCCTTCTCCTTGATGAATGGGAATCAGATTCACTGACACTCACCATGATGACTTTGTCTGCCCTTGACCCAAAGTGGACCTCTAGCTGTGAATAGGCCTGAGGAGGGTGGGGTGTGATTGGAGGGGGCTAGCTTGTGACAGCAATTCCATGTGGCCCCGTGCCCCCCGCCCCCTTGCCGCCAACCACAAACAGCTGTGAATGTTTCTATTTCCCAGAGAACTGTAGTGTCTCTGGGAAATGCTACTCTGGAAGCTGGCACTGGGTTAGTGTCTGGAACCAGACAAACTGGGAGGGAATCCTAGTGGAGCCACTTACTAGCCTCGTGATTGTGGGCAAGTCATTTTACCTCTCTGAGCCTTCATTTCTTCATCTGCTACATGATGAAATAATAACACTTTCTAAGATTACTGTGGGGACTAAATGAGACAACGTCTGTAAAACACTTAGCACAGTGCCTGGTACATTCTAAGCGCTCAAGAAATATCAGCTGGAAAAGTGGAGTAATAGCAGGATAGATAAGGTGGGGGTGGCAAGAAGAGCATCATTATCTCCATTTTCAGATGAGAAAATAGAAGCCAAGTGTAGCTCAGAACTGAGCTCAGTTCGTGGAAGACAGAAACATTCACATTTTGGGAGGAGACGGCACAGGCGGTCCAGGGCAGGGTGGCTGTGAGTTCTAGGGGGGTTGCCAGGATGCCGTGTCTGAGGTAGACCGGTCTGGGGAGCCTCTTGAAGGCCTCATGCAGGAGGGAGTCAAGGCCTCTTCATGCAGCCTCAACCTTCCAACTGGAGGCTGGAGCTGCACAGTGCAGGGGTCCCAGCTGCCTGGCATCTGGACCAGGACACCCCAGCCCCAGAGCTGCTTCCATCTGGAAGGCTGAGGCCCAATCAACCTTTCTTCAGCTGTTCTGCCCACTGATTAACCAGGAAATGTGTTATTTGTTCTGAGCAGGGGAACAAGCTCTCCTAGGGAGAGGAATTCAGGGCTGGAGGTCCAGTCACTTCCAAGGAAGAAAAATCCCTGGAATCCTGTCAGGAGTCTGGGTCTCGGCAAAGGGAGCAGAAATGTGGTCCTTGCTTTTGGTCCTTATTTACCAAATTAGTTCAAGTTCTGGTAGCTTTCTGGCCGCCAGCATTATTCCAACAAGACATGGGAAAGCAATTAGGTTGCCCTAGGTGTCCAGCAGACTGCCATCCCCACTTATGGTGCACACGTCCTGGCAAACCTCTTCTGCTGGAATCTTCTTATTGACCCCTTGGGAGTTTCCCTGCAGGGCTTTCCAAAGGTGATTTCCCTCCCCAGACTTAAGAGATGAGTGAGTGGGCTTAGCAGCATTCTGTGCCTCTTAGGGGGGATGCTGGGGTCAGAGAGTAAGGAAGTGACACATGGTGAGTAAGGGGCCATGCTGGAAACAGCTTCTTCTCTTACTGGGCAGGGAGGGAGAAGGGGACAGAAAGTTCTGCTAATTCCATATCCCCAGGGACTTGCGTCGTGGGCTAGTAGGCAGGGAAAAAAGTACTTGGGAATGTGTAGTGGAGGTACTCAGGTGGTGACAGCAGCAGACACGGTTGAGAAAGATACCACTTCAATTGTGAGGATGGCAATGAAGTCACAAGCCCATGAGTGAGGCAAGATGGTACAGTCTTAAAAGCTTGGCCTCAGGTGGGAAATGACCAAAGTGTGAATCCTGCAGACGCAGGATTTATCAGCTACTTATCAGCTGTGTGATCTTGAGTAACCTAGTAGCTCTTCCCAACATCAGTTTCTTCCTTTGTATATGTGGAAATAAAAATATCTCCTTTATTTGGTTAAATGAGCCCATTTATACAGCGCATTTAGCATAGTACTCGAACCGTAGTAGACTCCATAAATCTTGGCAACTTAAAAGAAGAAAGAAAAACATCAAGTGTTTATGGGATTGGAGATTCTGAAGAGCTGCATTAACATCCCAACAG